CTGAGGGTGTTCACCTGAAGGGCGGGGGCGGGCCCGGAGACTTATTTGGCGCTCGGTGGGAAGGCGTGCTGCGCCGAGAAATAAGGCCCGGCGGGCCCCGGCGCGCGTGCGTGGGGGGCAGGGGCGTGGCGCGGGGCGGACGCGGCGGCACCTTCGCCAGGCCCCGCCCACCGGGGCACCTGCGGCTTCCGGCCGCTCTACTGCCCGACGTGGAACACCCGCGCTGAAAGCTTGTGTAGGGAGACTTTTCGAAGGATTGAGCGGGGCAGAATGTGCGTGAACAGTAAGTGACAGAAACCAGATGTAGGTCCGCTTGTCGTCTGAAGCGTGTGAAAGGCTGCCCACCCAGAGACAGGCTCCAGAAGAGCAGCTGGTCTGGTCCGAATCCTGCCATGAGCGGGTTTTATTTCTTGTAGTAGCCCTTGGAAAGGGCCTGGAACGTTCTGAGCCCGCGCTGTGCCGAACCTCCCCCCAGCCTGGCCGGGGTTATAGCCACTGGCCACATGCGCTCCTTTACATTTCAGTTAATGCAAATTCCAATTCAGTTCCTCAGCTGTCTCTGAGCCCTGAGAGACGCCCAGATGGAGGGTTGCGAGCTCCGAGGATCGCCCGCGCTCGCTCCTTTCAATTACTTTCAATTATAGGTGAAGGCCTTGCATTTCCGGAACGTAAGAGGTTAAGCATTCCTCGGTTTTTATGGAGTACCTTGGATTTGGGAGCCAGCTGCAACCGTCCCTGTTGCTTGATTGAAAAGCGCAGTGGGACGCCCCGCGGTAGCGGTTGCAGACAGTGATCTGCCCTGTGCTGAGCTCTGGGCCGGAGGACTCCGGGATCGGGCATGGTGCGTCGTCGGCCGGTGCTGGGCAGTGGGGGGCGGTACCCAGAGGGTGGCGGACGCGGCCCACTCCCGGAACAAGGCAGGCACGCCCGAGCTCTCCTGATGCGGGTGTGATTCCTCTCCCTGCGAGCAGCCGGAGAAATGCAGCCCCCGGTGTGCGCGTGCTCCCAGTGAGGGCACCGAGAAGGCAAGAAGCAAATACCTGTTCAGGACCAAGCCATGAACCTGTGTTCGTACTTAAGTAGGAAGATACTGAAGACCCTTTCCCAAACGGGAGGTTTTCAAGCAGACTTCATTTCAGTGATGTTATAATTCATTCTGTTTTCAGTAATTTAGAGTGTACTTAAGCCAGCGATGGAAAAAGATTTTTTTTTTAAAGGTTTTATTTATTTATTTGACAGAGAGAGACACAGTGAGGGAGGGAACACAAGCAGGGGGAGTGGGAGAGGCAGAAGCAGGCTTCCCGCTGAGCAGGGAGCCCGATGCGGGGCTGGATCCCAGGACCCTGAGATCATGACCTGAGCCGAAGGCAGATGCTTAACGACTGAGCCACCCAGGCGCCCCTGTGCCCATAATTCCTAAAGTGGCCTCTATGATTACATCTGATCTGTAATCATTTGGGGATTTCAATATCGAATAAGGGAAATTTTATGACAAATAAACAGAAGAAAACGAGTCCCCTTTGAAAATAGGTGGGCAGACACAAAGGCTCCTATTGCATGATTCCACGTACAGAAACATCCAGAACAAGTAAAAGAATAGGGAGAGAAAGCAGCTTAGGGAGCTCATGTGAGATTCCCAGGCCCCCCCAAGTGTGTGCAGCGGAACACTGCGCACGCACCAGGAGCTGCAGAGCCACAGGCTGGTGCAAGGTGTGCACAAGCTCGAGACAGTGCCCTGATGGAAGAGTATGAAAGGCTCATTGGCATGATCTCAGATTCACGTTGCAACCACCTTCTGAGAAACTGCCCACATCAAGCTTTGGTCTAATATTAAAGAACAGTCTATTAATACACACTTTCCTTCAACTATGGATCTGAGACCAGATTTTTTTCATCTGCTTCATCCATTCTCACTTTTTTTTCTAAGAAGAGGTCACTCATTTTGGTGGTTGTTATTTCTTTTTTTATTTTATTTTATTTGACAGAGAGAGGGAGAGCACAAGCAGGGGAAACAGCAGACAGAGGGAGAGGGAGAAGCAGACTCCCCACTGAGCAGGGAGCCCAATGCGGGGCTCCATCCCAGAATCCTGGGATCATGACCTGAGCCAAAGGCAGACACCCAACTGACTGAGCCACCCAGACGCCCCTGGTTTTGTTTTTTTGTGGGTTTTTTTTTAGATTCTTTTTTTTTTTTTTATTTGACAGGAGAGAGCGCACAGGCAGGGGTAGGGGCAGGCAGAGGGAGAAGGAGAAGCAGGCTCCGCGCTCAGCGATGTGGGACTCGAACCCAGGACCCTGGGATCATGACCTGAGCCGAAGACAGATGCTTAACCGTCTGAGCCACCCAGGTGCCCCTGGTTTTTTTTGTTTTTTTTTTAAGCAAACATTTTTATTTTATTTTATTTTTTAAGTATTTTTATTAGATGTTTGTGCCATGATATCATACATGTTTTCACCAGGTCACTGAAATCAAATCTACTTTTTCAGGGTCCAGTTAATATCCTAGAGACTTTGATTTTACTGTTGTTTTTCCACTTTGCTTTTACTTTACATCTTTTATACTTTTATTTCATTTTACTTTTCCATTATTCTGTCATTTTCCATTACATCTTACAGATCTAAAAATAAGGGTTTTTTTTTAAATGGGATTATGATTTGCACTGATTTTTTTTACATGAGTATAGTTGACACATGATATTATTTTTCATTTCAAAATGTTATGGGGCACCTGGGGGACTCAGTCTGTGAAGCATCTGCCTTCAGCTCAGGTCATGATCTAAGGATCCTGGGATCGAGCCCCATGTCGGGCTTCCTCTCCTCCCCGCTCATGCTCTCTCCCTCCCTCTTTCTCAAATAAATAAATAAAATATTTTTTAAAAATGTTATATCAACATGTAATGGGTGTATCATTTTAAATGAATTGCTATTTTTTAAATTTCTGAGTTTTAATTCCTAATGTGGTAACTATCAATCTATATAATCCACATAAGCAAAAAGTTTATGCAACCAAAAAGTTGGTGAAGTTTTCTCAAAAGCCCCAGTACATCCATAAAATAGATGACAGCTGACCACACAGCCATTGAAGCCATGCTTATGACATGGACAAGTGCTAACCTGTTACGATGTGTAGTTCTCAGAGGTTTGAATGTTGGCTTCCCTCAACACTGCTGATGGGGCAAATCCTCTCTGCAGGAAAGGAGTTTTGGTGGATCGAGGTTTTCTTTCTTTGCACTTTGCAGTGATTCAGTGAGCATATATTACATGTATAACCAGAAAGAAATATTAATGTCATAAAAATAATGTCTACCCTGTTTTCCTCATAGTGGACATTTTGGAGATTAAAAACATTATAAAGTGCCTTGAAAACTCAAGTTACTGTGCACTTATTGAACCTGAGGGTGTTCACCTGAGGGTGCTCCCTGGGATGCTCACCAGGGGTGCTCACGGGGCAGGAGCTATGCTTTCAAATCAGCAACATTCTCTAGAGTGAGGGGCACATGTAGTAAGCACTCGCTAAAATACACCAATAAATGCATGAATGCTTTAAAGTTAATTATACTGGGGCACCTGACTGGCCCAGTCAGTGGAGCCTGCGACTCTTGAACTCAGGGTTCTAAGTTCAAGTCCCATGCTGCATGTAGAGATTACTTTAAAAAAATAAAATAAAGCTATGAACTATATATCTACAGCTTCTGGTTTTGGTTGAATCATGTCCCCCAAAGATAACGTTGACATCTCAATTCCCAGTAACTCAGAATGAACCTTATTTGGAAATAGGGTTGTTGCAGGTATAATTAGCTAAAATGAGGTCATATTGGATTATGGGGAGCCCCAATCCAAGGACTGGTGTCCCACAGAGATAGATACACAAAAAGGGGAGGCGGCCATGTGACCACAGAGATTGGCATGACACATGAACAAGCCAACGGACGCCAAAGATTGCAAGTGTCCTGCAGAACACCAGCTCTGGTTCCCAATCCCAGGGGAGGACCCCTGCCAAGTGGAAGAGAGCAAAGCTCATCACAGCACCAGCCACCTGGGGTAAGAGTCCCAACACTTCTGCCCACTCCTGGCCTTGGAGTTGCCAAGGAAAACGTGAAACAGTCAAGTGCTGACAGAGCAGCTTTACTCATGCAAGGAAGAGACGCCACAAGGTCTGCTTGGGCAGCTGGTCCCTGTGCATGCACCCCTCCTGTGCTGCAGTGGGGACAGCCAACCCCCCGGAGTCTGAGTACTGAAAGTTGGGGGGCATGCCTGGGGGTGCTCACTGGGGGTGCTCACCTGGGGGTGTTCACCTGAGGGTGCTCACTGGGGTGCTCACCTAGGCCGCTCACCTGGGGGTGTTCACCTGGGGTGCTCACCTGAGTGTGCTCACTGGGGTGCTCACCTGGGAGTACTCACCTGGGGTGCTCACCTAAGCCGCTCACCTGGGGGTGTTCACCTGAGGGTGCTCACTGGGGTGCTCACCTGGGAGTACTCACCTGGGATGCTCACCTAGGCCGCTCACCTGGGGCTGTTCACCTGGGGGTGCTCACCGAGGGTGCTCACCTAGGCCGCTCTCCTGGGGGTGTTCACCTGAGGGTGCTCACTGGGGTGCTCACCTGGGAGTACTCCCCTGGGGGTGTTCACCTGGGGGTGCTCACCTAGGCCGCTTACCTGGGGGTGTTCACCTGAGGGTGCTCACCGGGGTACTCACCTGGGGCACTCACCCAAGCAGGACAACAGGACAACAGATCGCTCACGGAGCTTACGGCAGGGAAGGATGTCCTGTACAAGTTCTGTGGGCTCCTTATTTGTTGGAAAGAAGGGTTCCAGGCCCGAAGCCCATTGCTAAGTGGTTTTGTTTGGGGTGGAAAGACCACCTTTCCCGACAGCCAGAGTTAAGAGGCGCCAGGATGACCCTGCCGTACAGCCTTCAGAGGAGGCACGGCCTTGCGACACCTCGATTTGGGGTTCTGGCCCCAGAACTGTGAGAGAACGCGTTGCTGATGTTTTAAGCCCCCCGTGTATGGCAGTTGTCACAGCAGTCCTGGGACATGGCTAGAAATGTGGACTAGCAAAATGTCTTCAGCAAAGAGAGAGAGAACCTCAGCTGAGCCTGCCTGGCGGGAAGTGTGGGACAGACAGCTCTCTGGGCTACCATCTGGCCGGTGCCGCTAGATGCCGTATTTGGGGGCTGGGGGCCCACTGCAGCCCCCAGACACTGAGTGAACACCAGCTGTGTCCAGAACACACAGGGTCACTCAAGGCAGCACGTCTGACGTGGTTTTAAAATATGCCCACGGATTCTTTTCATCCCTCTGCTTCACAGGTGGAGTCTGCCTCCTCTTGAGTGCTGGCTCTTCTCAGTGACGTGCTTCTGACACGGAGAATGCGTGGGACTCTGCCCCCTCTCCCTTTCTGACAGCTCGCCCTGGGGGGCCAGCAGCCACGTGCTGAGAACGCCCACGCAGCCCTGGGGAGCGTCCACGCGGGAGGACCAGAGGCCGCCTGCTGACTCCGTGTGGGTGAGCTGACTTGAGGATCCTCCACCCCAGTCCAGCCTTGGGGGGACCAGAGGCTTAGCCGACGTCCCGACTGCAACCTGGGGAGAGTCCCTGAGCCCGACTGCCCAGCTCCTGAATTCCCGATTTAAGGACGTGGTGAGATAAGGCGTGATGTTCTAAGCCACCGCTTGAGGTAATTTGTGACACAGCATAGATAACACAGGATTGGCTCCCCAGAAGGACTCCCACCTTTGCTTTTTTGTTGTTAGGGAAAGTGTGATCTGTCTGTGAAGGGTTCCCCATCCTTGCCCAAGTCAGAGGCTCCACGTGGTGACTGTTACAAATGCCGTCTGCCCCCTAATACCTGCTTAGGGTCCCCTAAGAGTAAGCCCTGGCCTGTGATCAGCCTGGTCCTCTGGGAACGCCAGGCATGTGCTTGTATGTGGCGTGTGTCCATGTGCCCAGGATACCGGCATGCAGAACTCACGCCTCATAAAAACAACGCACTCCCTTTCTCTCCCACCTTTCTCCCAGCTTTTCCTCTTGCAGGTTTCTGAGGTCTCTGTCTTTTGGGCGGCTGTGTGTCCTGGATTCTGACTTTCCCACCTCTCCCTGGGCAGGGGAAGGAGGGGATATGGTGAGAGGTCCTTGGAGCCTGGGGAAGTAGCCAGGACCGCCTGCCCCAGGAGAGGTCGGTGAGTGTGGGGGAGAGTGGAGGGGTCTCTCTGGATCCTAGGGAGCAGGCACCTATCCAGGACCTGGACCTGAGGCCCATGTGGAGGCCTGAGCATAGCCTGCATGGACATCTACCAAAATGCCTCCTCCCTAGCACAGGGGTCCCTGCTGGGCACCCCAACTGGCTATCTGGGTCCCATGGGACAGGCAGGCCACCAGCGTGAGTCAGGATGTCTGCTTATTCTCTCTTTGCCACTCTAGGTCCCCACCTTGGGGCCAGATCTGTGTCTGTGAACAATCAGCTGCCCAATGGGGGCCACAGAGCCACAGGTTACACCCCTGGGACCCGCTAGGACCCACTCCACAGGACACTGCAGTGAGAAGGACAAGCCTCGGATCTCGGACCCTCATGAGTTCTCTGTTAGCAGCAGCCTGGGGCCCAGGCCAGCAGGAGGGCTCAGGCCTGGGGAGAGCGGGGACAGCCCCACCTGCCTGTGGGCTCTGCCTCCTCCTCCCTCACACCCCCACTGTCTCCTGGGGCTCCAGAGGGGAAAACAGGCTTGTGTGTCATTTACACACTCATTCCTTAATGCCTCCGTTGTCATTAGAACTATTGGCAATTGTGATAAGAACAAGCGTGATAACCAGCTTCAGTCCCGAGCTACGTGCATAGCATTCACGCCCCCCTCCAGCAGTGGCCTTGCAGCCCGTTCCGACCCCACAGAGGCAGGATGCACACGGGGCAGCTCAGCCGCTTCTGAAACACACAGGCTTTGGTTTTTTGTTTTTAATCATTCATTTGATTTAATTTTAAGTTCACTGTCACTACGTGGATGAGATGGGTACATATCACACTAGGCTTCCGCTATGAGAGAGCTGCCGCTGCTGAAGGAAATCCAGCCCTCCGTTCTCTTTCCGCGTCCCTTTCTGAGTTCCACAGGAGCGGCGTGTGGGACAGCTGGGTTCCAATCCTGGCTTGTCACTCCCCCGAGGCTGTGTGGGTGGGACGAGGAGAGTGGGCATGGGGCCCTCCTTCCCCCTAAGCCTGTGGTAGGGGATCAGCATCCACCTGTGCTATCTGGCTGGGCCCTGGGAGTGCACCAGCATATGTTTCTGTAGGATGGAAGCCAGGGGCCCCAGGGGGCTGCCACCCACCTGGTTTCTGAGGTGCTGGCTCTGGGTCCTGCAAGAACTTGCAGTCTGTCCCCTCATGCTCTCCACCCAGAGGATGGTCAGCAGGGACCCTGCCCTCAGTACTCAGCTTTGGGATGGGGCTGCCAAGGGACAAGGGGAGGGTGCTGCCATGGCCCAAAGACTGAACACCCCCCATGGCCAGCAGCTGGCAGTCCTCAAAGGCCGGTGCTGGGAATCTGGAGGAGGAGAAGGAGCCCAGTCCAGGAAGGTCTTGGCAGGAGAGGCCTGGAGCCGGGAGGGAGGGAGTGCGGGGGGGGGGGCGGCACACAGGTCAAGAAAGTCAAGGATGGACTAGGCAGGAAGGTGATTTGGGAATCCCATCCCCCAACTTCTGAATCTGCAGGCAGCTGGTCCCCTACTCCCCCTGCTGTCTGCTCCCTGAGGGGCACCTGTGGCTGCCACTCACTCAGAGGTTAGCCTGAAAGCCCCATGGCCCGGAGCATCATGGGAGCATCTTTCTACCAGGGTGAGGGCACAGGAAGGGGCCAAGACTCCAAAGGGCTCTAAAGATGGAGTCCTCCAAGGGCCTGTAAAGCCTAGGGGGAGAAGAGGAGTGATGAGGGAGGAGGGCTTTCCCCACATGGGTACTGGGCCAGACGTTCTTAGGAGGCGGGCACTCCTGGGAGGAGGGCCAGCAAGATGTGTCCATGCAGCCCACAATCCTGTCGACCATGGCAGAATGCCCACTCCCCTGAAGACAGGCCAAGCCACATCCCACCCTCCCCCCCAAGACCAAGCTGCCACTGCAGGCCAGGTGGTCTCAGAGGACCCCGACCCACCCATTCCAAAACATTCCGTTGCACAGATGGCACCACGGCTGACCTGGCCACACGCTGCCCAGAGGTCGTTCTTCCTTCCTCTGCCCCCTCCCACCGAAGGCCTTGCAGGTGGTGTCACCTCTGACTGTCAGCGGCAGGGAGCTGGCTCAGAGGATGTGCCCTAAGTACAAGGTGCTCACAGGACAAGCCAGCGTAAGGACCCACATGTTCCTGCTACCACCACTGGGTTTATTGAGGTTGTCACCACATCTGAGAGGGCCACCAACAGGGGACCCAGCCACTGCCTGGCCTGGTGCCTGAAGTGAGGGACTGTGTGCCACGCCCTGGCGGCTCCTGGATGGGGAGCCTGCGGAGGACTGGACGGCTCAGAGCGGAAAGAGAAGCGGGAGCTGGGAGTGCGGGGCAGGGAAGGGGCAGGAGCAAAAGTTGCATCTAGACAAAGTGGCACAAGACGAAACCAGAACCCGCATGTGTCGATGTCTCCTCTCAGGATCCAGGCGCCTCTGCTCCGCAGCCCCTTAGCCGGACATCTCCTCTCGCTGCTCCTTGTTCCTGCGCACCTCAGCTGCGTGCAGCTCCTGGGAGGACAGGTGGAGGTGGGCGGGGCCCTGCGCCCGCCGTGGCGGCTGAGGGGGCTGCCCCTTCCCCCACGCCCAGGCTTCAGGGACCCTCCTAAGTGCAGGAGAAGCGACCAATGGGACCCCTTAACGACCAGGACGGAGGAGCAACAGAGAACAGGGGGAGGCCCATGTCCTCCCCTCGAAGTGTGGCCTGAGTGCGGGGGCTGGCCCTCAGTGAGACAGGGTGGCACCCAAACCAGAGAGAGAGCCGTGACTCCAGGGAACTTCCTTGGGTTTGCAAGCTCCAGGGTACCCCCTGGCACCAACCTGGTCCCACCCCGCGGGCTGAAGCAGAGGCTACTGGTAGGGGGCTCCCGCCAGGGCGGGGCCTCGCCTCACTCTGGGCTGTCTCCATGCAGGACAGGGAGCAGCCGGGCTGCGAGAGCGCTGGTGGTGCAGTGGGAAGGTACCACCAAAGGACGGGGGGGCCCCCGGGGGCTTCCCTGGCCCCCCAGCCTAAAGCAGCTCCTCCCCTCTTCTAGCTCAAACCCGCACCTTTCGCAGCACTTCAAAAGTAATGACCATCGGTTTACTACCGCGGTCACTGGCCGTGTCCCACCAGGACCGAATTAGGGGCCGAGGCCAAGACCGCAGGCGCGCAATAAACGCAGGCGAAGGCCCCACTTCCTGCTGCCCGGGA